AGCCAGCCGCAAGTGGGCATCTGTTTTCACAACGCTGTTCTCAAACTATTACAGAAAGAGTCCCATATCAGCAGTAACCCCCCCCCCCAATAATTATCACAGTCGGTTTGCGAGATTCTTGGTAAACAGACTAGAAGAAGAAGAAGAAGAGATTGGATTTATACCCCGCCCTTCACTTGGAGTCTCAGAGCGGCTTACAAAGTCCTCTCCCTTCCCCTCCCCACAACAGACACCCCTTGAGGTGGGTGGGGCTGAGAGAACTCTGACACAAACTGCTCTTTTTCAAGGACAGCTGTGCCAGAGCTTGTGACTGACCCAAGGTCACATCAGCAGGTGCAAATGGAGGAGTGGGGAATCAAACCCGGTTCTCCCAGATTAGAGTTCGCACACTTAACCACTGCACCAAACTGGCCGGGCTGTTACAAGCTACGTCTTTGTTAGAGAGACATCTGGATTCAGGACAGACGAATCCAGGCGGTCTTTCAGCGCTTATTAGAAGGGATAACGTGATCTCCCTATCCTTTGACACATGAAAGTGCTGTGTACTGAACCAGACCATCTGTCCATCAGGGGCCGTACTCCAGGGTCTCAAGCGGAGGTCTTTCACATCACCCGTTGCCTGGTCTTTCTAACTGGAGATGCTGGGGATTGAGCCTGGGACCTTCTGCATGCCAAGCAGAGGCTCTGCCATTGAGCCATGACCCATCCCCTTCTGAAGGGAAGCCGCTCCACATCTTATGTAGGCTTTGCCAGCAGTGTTCCCTCTAAGCTGAGTTAATGTGAGCTAGCTCGCAGTTTCTTAGCCTCCGTCTCACACATTTTTGTCTCTCCTCAGGAAGGAGGGCTCCAGAGCAAACGTAAATTTCTGCAGGAGCCAAATCGCTCGCTCACAACTTTAATGCCGGTAGCTCACAAAGTAGAATTTTTGCTCACAAGACTCAACGGCTTAGAGGGAGCGTTGGTTGCCAGGTGCAGGGGATGGGGGCAGTGTTCCCTCTAAGTTGAGTTAGCGTGAGCTGGCTCACAGTTTCTTAGCCTCCGGCTGACAGATTTGTGTCTTAGCTCAGGAAGCAAACTCAATAATGCAGTAGCCAAATCGCCTGCTCGCAACTTTAATGCCAGGAGCTCACAAAGTAGAATTTTTGCTCAGAAGACCTCCACAGCTTAGAGGAAGCATTGGATGGAGGGGGTAGGGTTGCCATCTCCAGGTTGGGAAACTCCTGGAGATTTGGGGATGGAACCTAGGGAGGACGGGGATCTCAGTGGGGTACGCCGCCACAGAGTCCAACCCTCCAAAGCAGCCATTTCCTCCAGGGGAACCGGTCTCTGTAGTCTAGAGATGAGTTGTACTTCCGGGAGATCCCCAGGTCTTGCCTGGAGGCTGGCACCCTGATATGTGGGACAAGGATTTGACCATCCAAGGAAATCCTACAAAATGTGTTTAAGAGTCCTACTGGATGGTCCACTTGGATTACCTACAACATGAATTTACGGAGGGGTGGGATTTTGACAAACAAATTGTTCCCCATCGTGCAGATGCTTCTATATAAGTGACTATAAACTTTTTAAAGAGGTGGGAATGAACTGCCGAGGAAGCGTTTCTTGGAACAGGGCAGCAACGTTAGAGAACATAACTAGAAAACCCAGAGGGAAGAGAATGTAGAGCAGAGGTCCCCGTCCAATGCTCCCTCTAAGTTGTGGAGTCTTGTGAGCAAAAATTCTACTTCGTGAGCTCCTGGCATTAAAGCTGTGAGCGAGCGAGTTGGTACGGCATAAATTAGTTTGCCCTGGAGCCACCCTTCCCAAGCTAAGACAAAAATGCGTGAGCCAGAGGCTAAAAAACTGTGAGCGAGCTCACACTAACTCAGCTTAGAGGGAACACCGGTCCCCAACCTTTTTAGGGCTGCAGACATCTTGGGCTTGTACGTGCAGTACAGTATTTCAGTACAAGTCGCATAATATTTAGTCTGCATTTAGCCTCTACTGAGGAAGATTATTCAAAACAAAGTTCTGAAATCCGGAGTCTTCGTCATCCATTGTAGATTTACCTGTTGGATTAATAATATTGCAGATTTACCTGTTGGATTGTTGGAAAATTACCTGTTACACTAGTGGAATTACACTGCATATGTAGAATTACTACTAGGTTCACTGTAGCCTTACCTGTTGGATTATTGAAATATTGTAGATTTACCTGTTGGATTATCGAAAATTTACCTGTTGGATTATTGATAACATTGTGGATTTACCTGTTGGATTTTTGTAAATACTACATATGTAGTTTTGTCCGTTATTACTGCCAAATATATTGTTGTTAAAGGTAAAGGTAAAAATTCCCTTGCTCGAAAGCCAGTCGAATCTGACTCTAGGGTTGTGGTGCTCATCTTCGTTTCCAAGCCGAAGAGCCAGCGCTGTCTGAAGACGTTTCCGTGGTCATGTGGCCGGCATGACTAAACACCAAGGCGCACGGAACGCTGTTACCTTCCCACCGAAGTGGTACCTATTTATCCATTTGCAATTTCTTGCTTTCGAACTGCTAGGTCAGCAGGAGCTGGAACTAGAGACGGGAGCTCACTCCGTCATGCGGCACACTCGGGTCCCGAACTGCTGAACTACCGACCTTCCACAGCCTGCAGTTCAGCATCTTAACCACTTGAGCCACCGCAGCTCCGTTATATTGTTGTTACTTATTAGTAAATTGTTTTATTATTCTGTTCTATTCTTAGCGTCCTTCTGCACCGTTGTTCTTGGGCTTATCATGTTTACCGTGTAATTGCTGATTGTTTACTGTGTCCGGGAGCCCTGCTGTAGAGGGCATTATTCCCAAGGACTTCACCTACTCTGTCTCGGATAATCTATTTTTCATTGCTTCCACTTGGAATACAGAGGCCCTTCACACTCCATATTTTCCCCATTACAGCTTACTATTAAAGGAAAAAAACCCAATTGGAGCACGATTGTCTAAAACATTTTTAACCTGCTTTACTCTCAAGGAGACGTTCGAGCAGCTAGAAGGCCCCCGTTCTTTGCATTCAGGCGTCACTAACGCTAGGGCTGCTACCGGGAAATTCTGGCCGAACCGCAGCTATTTATCCGGGAAGCCCGAGAAACTGAGAACATTTGGCAGGGATGTGCTTTATTGTTCTTTCTCACATGGTCCCTCGGGGAGAAATATATGGAAAGGTTTTGCTCGTGCATCAGACAGACCACGAGGATTCTGCGAAGACAGACACGGAGAGAGTGGCGGAGTTTGCCACGGTCACCGGGACATCCTAGCCACAAAGTTTCCCCAATAGCCATCCCGTGCACTGCAAACACTTGCATTTGAAATGGGCCTCCTCTTGTGTTTACTCCCCTCATCTGATGTGTTTATATTGCTGTGATATTTCAGTTAAACTGACGTCAATGGCTGCTGCGTGACCCAAGGGCCCTTGGCGAGGTGATTCACGCAGGCCGGCTGAACGCCGAGGGGCATTTGTATATTAAACAAATGCCCGGCCCCTGCCATTAGGCAAATTAGAAGGCAAATTCCTAGGAATTCCATTTTATGAGCGACTATGGGACTGTAGGAGCTGCGGTGGCTCAAGGGGGTAAGACGCTGAACTGCAGGCTGTGGAAGGTCGGTAGTTCAGCAGTTCGAGACCCGAGTGTGCCGCATGACGGAGTGAGCTCCCGTCTCTAGTTCCAGCTCCTGCCAACCTAGCAGTTCGAAAGCAAGAAGCTGCAAGTAGATAAATAGGTACTGCTTCAGTGGGAAGGGAACAGCATTCCGTGCGCCTTGGTGTTTAGTCATGCCAGCCACATGACCACGGAAACGTCTTTGGACAGCGCTGGCTCTTCGGCTTTGAAACGGAGATGAGCACTGCAACCCTAGAGTCGGACTCGACTGGCTTTCGAGCAAGGGAACCTTTACCTTTAGCTATGGGACTGTAAATCCGGTGACTTGGACAATATTTGGCCATTCTTTACAGATTGCAATTAGTACAATTTGGCCTGTGACAGGTGGATTCCAATCTAGATCCCAAAAATGTGTCAGCAAGCTGCCATAAGATGCTGTATTCATTTTCTGTGTTACTTTCCACCCTGCCCATCCCCCTTGTATTTTCCTGTGTAGGTGTTTACTGTCTTTTGCTGCTACATCTGCGGAACTGCTCAAGGTCAACCAGCTGGAGGTGGGATGGAGTTATGGCATTGCTTGGCTTATTATGTATCTCATGCCTGAGAACTGAACTAGTGTTTATGTTGCAGAACCGTTGTGTTCCCAAGGAATTGGGCGTTCGTTTTATCTGCCTTCCCGCCAGCGGGAAGTGGACTCATTGGTCCTCACCTGGTTCAAAGTTCCTTTATTATGTTCCCTTAGGGGGCTTGTAGTTATTCCTAACAATGCTTGTGTTCTGATCTAATCATCGCTTTATAATAAACTCTACTTTGTTCTTCAAACGTGGATTTATTCGAATGCATGGGGAATCGGACATTTTGTTAGGAATCGCCTTTTTCTTCATCACCCCGAATCTGAGAGATCATGAGTGGGGCCGAGGAGAAACTACCAACCACGGAGGGATCCACACCGGTCACCTCTAGCCCCCCTACCACCACAGCTACGTCGGTACCGGTCTCGGGTGCCAGCGACGGGAGCGGTGGGGGGAGCTGTGCCGAAAAAGGCACCGCTAGTGTGGCCGCCTCCGACCCCTTCCCGGTGGGGCAAAGGAGCAGCACCCGCCTGGGATGACTGGACTATGTTTGACTCGCGGGGCACACGAGAAACTTTTTCGCACCGCGGGAGCGGGCTCCGCGAGAGCATGTACGACCAAGGGTTGTACCGAGGAAGGAACACGGGTCTCCCCAGGGACTGGCCCGGGGGGGAAGAAGACCTCTTGGGCATGGATCGCCCGACCGAGAGGGTGAGCAGATCGGTGACAACTGGGGAGCAGGAGGCGATGGGCGTCTCGGCTATCGGCTGTCCAGGTGGTGTGACTCGGGCCGTGAAAGCAGACGCCTACCTGAGGCCGTGAGCCTGAAGCTCTTTGCTCATCTTCAGTTGCTGGAGGTCGTCGACGTCGCGGAAGAGGAAGAAAGCGTCCTTGCATTCCGGGTGGGTCTCAAAGAGCCTGGCGGAGAAACAGGAGAGGAGGCGGTCAAGACGAGCTCCCAGGTGAGTTGCTCAGCAGGGCCGCAGGCAAGGGGGTCCATCGCTGCTCACCCACTTGCTGAGCCGCTAGTGTGGCAGCATGGTCCCGGCTACGTGCGTGGCCCAGTGCCACTGCAGGCCGTGGTGAGAATGGGCAGTGGCAGAGCTCGCGAGCAGGCAGGAGAAGGATGAACAGGCAGGTGGGAGGCATGCAGGTAGGCGGGAGCTGGGAGGAAAGGAAGGCACGTGGGGATTCCTGGGGGTGGGTAGAAGGGCGGGGCAGCTGGGAACTCTCTGCTCAGGGCCCCTCCAAAGCTGGAACCGGCTAGGGATGCCAGCCTCCAGGTGGGACCTGGGCAATGCTCCCTCTAAGCTGTGGAGTCTCGTGAGCAAAAATCCTACTTGGTGAGCTACTGGCATTAAAGTTGTGAGCGAGCGATTTGGCTACTGCATAGATTAAGTTTTCTCCGGAGCCATCATAGAATCATAGAACGTTAGAGTTGGAAGGGACCTTGCAGGCCATCTAGTCCAACCCCCTGCACTCTGCAGGAGCATAGTTGAAAGAGAGCCCTACATACCTACAACATACCCGAAAGATGGTCGTCCAGCCTCTGCTTGGAAACGTCCAGCGAAGGAGCCTCCACCACCTCCCGAGACAGACTATTCCACTGCTCAACCACTCTCGCAGTTAGGAAGTTTCTCCTGATATTTAGCCGGTAACGACTCCCTTGTAATTTCAACCCATTAGATCTAGTCTTGCAATCCGGAGCAAGAGAGAATCAATCTGCTCCATCTTCTGCATGACAGACCTTCAGATACTTGAGGACTGCCATCGTGTCCCCTCTAAGCCTTCTCTTTCCCAGGCTAAACAGACCCAACTCTTTGGTCAGCCTCTCCCCATAAGACTTGGACTCCAACCCTCTCACCATCCTGGTTGCCCTCTTCCAGACACGCTCGGGCTTGTCAACATCCTTCCTAAAATGTGGTGCCCAAAACTGGACACAGGACTCCAGGTGAGGCCTGACCATAGCAGAACAGAGCGGAACGACCACCTCCCGTGATCTGGACACAATGCTTCTGTGAATGCATCCTAAGACTGCATTCGCTTTCTTCACAGCCACCTCGCACTGCAGGCTCATGTTCCTTCCTGAGCGAAGACAAACATGCGTGAGACGGAGGCTAAAAGACTGTGAGACGGCTCACGCTGACTCAGCTTAGAGGGAACGCTGGACCTGGGGATCCCTCGGAATTACGCCTCGTCTCCAGACTACAGGGATCAGTCCCCCTGGAGAAAAGGGAGGCTTTGGAGGGCGGACTCTGTGGCACTGTGCCCCACTGAGGTCCCCATCCTCCCCGGGCTCTCCGCCCCCAATATCTCTAGGAGTTTCCCAACGGGAAAACCCTACCCCCTTCATCCCCCGCC